CTTTCAGGCCTTTGAAGAAGGCGTTGTGCCGAAACATTGGGCTTTGAAATATAGTATTTCACTAACATTGTAACGGCATATAAAAGATCAAGATAAGCAGGCATGGTCGAGACTGACAAGTGGAGATCAAAAGATCGCTCAGATGGGTTCAAAAAGTGGAGAAAGTGATGACTTCACTGGTTTGTTTGAAAGGTTATCAACAAGCACTTCGAACCTTTTGATTAATGAAAGAATATTGAACAACAAGTCATTCAGTGTCAGGCATCACTATCCTATGTAGAATGAGTTGTCTACGAAATTGCAGTACGTGGCTGTGCCCTTAACTTTGGAGGGCTTATGAATTAGGCCCTTTAATTCTAAACGCACCTAGAATTACTACGTTTCATCGCGTAATAGCACCACATTTGCTTTCTCCATCCTCCTATCTCTCCGGCAATATGTAAAACCTAGTGGTTTATCTGTGCCATGGACTAGAGGTGAAAATTGCATTTCTCTTTAGTCAGATCAGTTCCATCCGGAACTCTATCCACCAACAAGAGGGCCTACTCCGGCTGCTTCGTTAGCTGAATGGCAGGCAGGACTTGACGTTGTCCCCGTCCAGCTTCAATTGAGGCCTGGTTAGTATTCATTGCTTTGGTGTCAACAAGAGGACATTGGTCTTGAGCTCTCATGGCTTGAATCACCTTTTTTATTGCTAGAATGGGCATTATAATTTTCCTATCCTGAGCGCATGAAAATAATGTCCAGGGCAATTGACAAGTACATCGAAGCCAGTGTTATTGAAAGGGCGCTCTGGAAGTCCGAAGCTAATTACTTCTGATGCGAACAATGACAAAAAGTTCAGGTTTTTATCCCAGGTAAGAGGATTTGACGACATCTACTCTTCAAAAAATCCCAATTTTTAGATAACGAGACCAGATTATCGGGCAGTTGAAGAGAGAGAGGATTGTGAGGAAATCACAAAGCTGATTGAACTTACGCATAGAATCCATGAGGGAAGACGAAGTAACAGGTATAGATATTTTCTAGCCAGTTAAAAATAATGATAAAATGGGATTTTTTTAAATATTACCAAGATTTGCTTGAAAAGATTTCAATAAAAACAATTTAGTTGTGCTTTTAGTTTT